CATTGCTCATGCGCTCCTCCCAACGCCCTATCATCTTGCCAATGGTATAGTAAGGTATTGACAGTATATAATCGCAAGGCATATTAGCGCACGTCACAGTGTTGTCATCAGCATTGTGGACTTTCACGGAGAGATCGTTAAATATGAGATGACCTGTGGGTGTTGATGTTGTAGGGGTCAGTCGCTGTCACTGGCGTTCTTTGGATCCAGCGGTTTGAGGTTTGAACACCGCCACCACCGCCCAAATTTGGTGGTAGGCAGCTTTGTAGGCGTCCTGTCCAATACCACGTCTAACCTAGCTTTGCCTTTTGCTGCTAATTCTGGATAACGCACAGTTGTCCATATACTTTCTTTCATCTGGGCAGCGTAACAGTGCTGTGCCCGCACTCAAATTAAAGTGCTCATAATTTTTACCTCCATGCAATAACTCTCCTTTCATTGCATAAACGTCCATGTTGTACCCAGTTGGTAGAAGACCCTAAAGAATCGGCCAGCGAAGGAACAGCAGTTGCTTTCTTCTCACTTTTTTCAGTCCTGAAGGCTTGAAAAAGACGCGTATTCACTGTGTTGACTTTAGTGATACATTTTTCTCTCTTGAAAACAAACCCACTCCTCTACCACTTTATGTATTCTTACTATGCGTCGTATAATATGAGCTTAGCTGTGTCTCATGGCCGTAACGACGATATTGGGAATTCGTCTGTATGTCAGAAGTTAAATTCTGACTTTGGCAACTTACTAATAGCTTTATTTACATGCCGACTTGTAAAATTCAAGCATGCAAATACCTTGCTAGCTCATACTTTTTTCCAATGAGTCTCATTTAAACACGGTGGCAGCATAAACAATATGGTGCACATGGAAGTATTCGTTACAGTAACTTGTGAACACCCTAACAACAAGTAATAGCCGTGAAAATGATTTTACTTACTTTTGAGATTACTAAGTACAAATCATGCAGTCAATTCGGATGGAGACAGACTCTGACCAATTGAAGACTGTCTGACGAAGTATGTAAATTGGTAAGTGCTGCAGTTGCGGGATTCGAACAAGATCTTCGGGTCGCTTTGATGATGACCTAAACTACTTGATGACCATCGGTAGATAATATATTCAGTACATCACACGGTTCCCGGAATCGGAGCGCATACTGTTCGATGAATGTCATAACCATAATTGTGCAGCGAAATACTACGGTGGTGGGAATATGTGCTGTGCATGTCGCCAAGTAGGCTGCCACGGAGAGCGATGTTTGCCGAGGCAGCCAGCGGATGGAAATAGATCAGGGACGGTCAAACTAAGACCTAGCATGAGTGTATGAAAACCATAACCAGGAGACTGGGTCACATAGGTCCCGTTAGGTGGTTAGATACGCTGGGTGATGTGGCTGGATGTCGCAAATAGTGGCGCTCGTGCATCCACTGATTATTTCCCTAACACCATTCTGTATAAATTCTCCATCTTGTGCTTGAATTTACTTTCTACATTCCAAGCTTCTTTCTGCTCTTTTATCCAAATGGGGCACCAAAAAACAACAACGAAAACCGGCGCACGAAAGTGCATGGTTCATGGTTGTGAAAACTGAAAGTAAAACGTTAGGCTCCCTGGATGGAAACCCCGAGATTAGGGTAACCGGTGGTTAGAGACTTAGTGATATGGCTGCGATCAGTGAAGTTCGCCTCACTGTATTTCGCTGTACGACGATTATGATGATATGGCTGGGTGTCGCAAGCAGTTTTGCTCGTGCATCTGCTCATTATTCTTGCAACTGCAGTCTACATGAATTCTCTATCTTCCTCTTGAGTTTGCTCTCAACGTCCCAATGTTCATTCTTTTATTTTATCCAAATGGGCGACCAACCAAGACCGGTGCACGAAAAGGCATGGTTAATGGTGGTAAAAATTGAAACCGAAACTGGGTGAGATATGGTGAGGCGAATTTCGCTGGTCGCTGCCAAACTCATTATTCAAAGAAAGTGAGTGAAAATGTGTAAGGAGGATGGGGTTTGAGCCTTTTTTCGGGGGACTGGGAAAGGAGGCGAACCTCTGTGGTCCATACACAGAGTGATCTGCCTAACTGTGCGTACATACCTTCTGATCAGAAATAACAACAAAAATGCCATTGATGTCGGTTCGCTGCCATATACTTCAGTGTCTCCAGCTAGCCAGTTGCA